CAGTGAGACACGTCTGCTCAGTCTCACATCCCGGCCACGCAACCAGAGTGTAGTTCAACCTGCCAGTAAACCTAAAATATCAGATGTAAGTGAACTGACACTGTAGTAATTTGCTTGTAACCGCAATATACAGGGGTACAGGTACTCTTAAAAACAAGGACACACAGGGACTCGTGTACACATATACACATGCACAATCACACACAGACACACAAAGGTTTGACTTGATGGACCTGTGCCTTTATTCAACCTCAAATACTATGTAACTATGTAACTGACTTAAATTTGTTTGATTGTAGGTGACTATTGTGATCAAGTATTTCTTCCAGTTTGGATTCTTCCCATGGAACGCGGACTTAGAATTAAGCAAAGATAAACCTTACCATCCTCCCAACATAATTGGTGTGGAGAAAAAAGAAGGCTATGTCCTCTATGATCTTGTTCAATTGCTTGCTTTATTTTTTCACAGATCGATCTTAAAGGTAAGTAAACCACACGTAATTTCTTAAATTAACCTATTACACACAGCAGTTAGTTGCAGAACCATGCAGGAGCCTGAGATCCAATAGACCTCATTGAACATGATAAATATCACCAACCAGATGCTAGTGGTATTTTAGGGAGTGACAACCTTTGCGGTAGACTGTGTGAATTGTAGCATTGCACTAATAACATGATTATTCCTTTTTTCATTTAGCCAATGTGATATTGCTAAACACATGCACACAATAACATTTTATGCAGTAAAGCACATCATACATGCAGTAAACCTTCAGTAAACTTTAAAGTCTCTTGCTAAGTAAGGAGTAGCTGTCCCTATTTTAATGCATTGTCTTTTCGAAATTCCTAGATATGTTGTACATGTAAAAGATTAGCTGGATGTAAATAATGTTTCCAATATATTTTGCTCCCTTTTTTCTCTGTTTAGTTTGAGGAGTGGGTTGCCATATTTATTTATTACATATGTGGGTGCTGCTTCCTGCTTTGCAATACTACACAATAGTTGTTCTTTATATATGAGTTGGCCAACTCACTGAAAACAACGCACTTCCTGTTTTGGCTGATATCCTATCTCAACAGCTGTTTTTAAATGTGAGGTTGATTGAGGCATGTCAAAACAAAGATATCCCTCTAGTGGTTATTCTAAAAAATAAATATATATAATATACCAAACTAGGGCCAAAAATGGGAAAGATACATCTAACAATACTTTAAAATAAACACTGCAGTTGTAGCTCAAAATAAAAACTAATTAGAAATACTGCAGTTCCACTTTAATGACATCATTGTACAGTTCAAGATGACATCATTGGGTCAAGCACCATTGATTCCTTGCACTTGTTAAAGGGACATTAAACTCAGGAGTTAAACCTTAAAAATGATGGCTACTTTACAACACACACAGGGACCATGGGGAACAAAAGTAGCCACCCTCCAGAAGGAAGGACAGTGTCAGCACCAGTTCAGAGATGATTTGAGGATCTACAGCAGAGTGATACACAAATACAATACATTTCGGTTAATAGTTATGGTGCTTGAATGCATTTTTAAGGTTTAACTCCTGAGTTTAGCTACACTTTGTGCTGGAAGGCCTTGAATCTCCTCTAGTTATGCACTTAGGGCTATAGAGTTCAGTGGACATGTATGTTCAAATAATATGTATTTCATATACTGTACTCATAAATATTTGCACATACAAAAACCTCTAAAAAAGTATCTGTCTCTGTTGGTATAGTCATTTTTGCAACCATATTTAATTTGTATGTTTGTGTGACTGACATTTTGACAACAATTTAAAATCAGTTGCTTATTAATAACTTAGCTTCTATGTATTTCCTTAAGTGTCACGGTCTTTGGGATGAGGACGAGGTGATTGACAATACCACCCACAAGGACGAATCAGATGGTGAATTTTCAGAAGCTTCTGTAAGAAGAGATTCTGTTGGATCACTAAAATCAGTCAATCTTGCAGCCTCTGCAGAATCCATCCATGTTCACTTCCCAGAAGAGAAGACAGCTGTGAGAAGAGCAAGTAGCAGTGGATCCCAAATATCTCGAAGGTCCAGTTACTCTTCCTCACATAACAGATCAAAGAGAGGTAAATAGATTGCTGTATGGAGCAAATTACCATTACAATGCTTTCCCGCTCTTTGTGTTTTAATCAAGCGCCATTCACAGAACTTAAAGTGGACCTTTACCCCTTTTGACTAAAAATCACCTCAGCATGCAGCTCTGCATGCTGATATGAAATCATCTTACATTCATTAGCTAAACAAACATTTTTTATTTTACCTACAATTTTCTTTATTTCCACTTCCTGGTCCACTTAGGCCCAAATGATGCAATCGTGCCCAAATGTTGAATCCTAGGAAAGTTACATCAGCAGAACAATGCTGGGAAATCTCATCTCAGGGAAAGGCAATTTCCTCCCCTTAGATGATGCTCATGGTCACATGTCCTAGACATCTAGTAACCTGCCCTGAGTTAAAATGGCCACTGTCATAAGACTGGGGAAGAAAAGAAAAATAAGGGATGCAAAAAATTAAAACCCTGTAATTATCTAGAAGTATCTGTAGATTGCCATTACTAAACATGTCTAAAGGTGTGTTTGTTGTTATTTTGAAAATATGGGTAAAGTTCCTCTTTAAGATTGGTTCAGAGCTATAGGGAATACATGCTTGCAATATTATACATTGCTTTTTTTATGAAGTACTAAAAGAAGGTATTAGAATATGTTCTAAAAATGAATCGTACAATATGCAATGCTATGGTGTGAATGATCCCTTAGTGCCTTTTTCCCTTAGGAAAGTGGACACCCATTATAATGTCCACAGCAGACCCAGGAAATCAAGCTCTGCTTTTTTACTATTGAGAGGAAGGGCTGAGTGAAGAGGGAGAGACCAGCACCAACTTATCAAGGGGACCATAGTGACTAGTATAGGTTTTCTGGCCTACCCGACTGACTTACCTGAAATAGAACCATCCACAGACATAAGATCATTGCTAAATTCAGTAAAAAAAAATTTTTTTAACCAATGAGTTACCAAACCAATAATGTATTCATAAAACACAGAGGGGGGGGATTTATCAAAAGTGGAGCAGACAGAATCAGAAGCAGTTGCAACTAATCAGCATCTCTCTTCAGTTTGCTCAGGTAAGATTTGAAAAGGAGACAGAGAAGCAAATTGATTGCAGTGCATATCTGCTGCAGATTTTGCCTGCTCCGGTTTTGCCTGCTCCAGCGTATCACTCAGACAAAAATAAAATCCTGGAGTTACTAATGAAATTTAAAGAGGGCATTAAATTCATACAGGCCTGTTGATTTGTTAGATTGTATATCATATATGTATAGATTGTTTAATCATTATTCCCAAATACGCTGGTAATATTGTTTATAGTACGGTATATAAATAATATGTAGTGTACTTGTGTAGCACAAATAATAATGTTTGTTGCAATCTGTTTCCATTAAAGGTAGCACCAGCACTCGAAACAGCAGCCAGAAAGGTAGCAGCATACTAAGTGTGAAACAGAAATCAAGAAAAGAACTGCTTATGGAAAAGCTTCGAGAGCAACTCATCAAAGCAAAAGCATTTACTATTAAGACGTAAGACAATTCACATACTTTTTATTTTTGAGTTGTACAAAAAAAAAAAAAATACACAACTGCACCCTATGCATTAGAGATTAAACAATACAGTTTTCATTGTTGTGAAGCAAAAAATGTGCTTCAGGTGAAATACTTTCTTTTCTTTTTTACACCAGATTCATTGGGGCTGATTTACAGTAACTGGAGAAAATAAAATAAACGCAAAATTAAACTTACCTATGGCAACCAATCTGCTTTCATCAAATACAGCAAGAAATCTGATTTGTTCCTATGGCCTCATCACATGAGAATCGGCCGGCACATACAGCTCAGTGCCGCGTGCAGGGCCGTATCGGGCAGCTCCCTGGAAGGACAGTTGCTGTGTGTGATTAGTACGCAGCCCCTGTCCTTCTCTGTGGGACTACGCGGCCATACGCCACCCTACGCTCACCCTCCTGCACGTCCTTGCGGGTGTCCGTACTCGTACGCTGACAGGATGGATCCTGTCTGCGTCCGAGGTGGGACACCGGCACCTGTACAGATGTGGAGGAGGGTGAGCGTAGGGGGGTGTACGCTTGCGTAGTCCCATGAAGACAGGGGCTGCATACTAATAACACGCAGCACCTGTCCTTCCGAGTAGCTGCACGATTCGGCTGTGCACGCAGCACGGATCTGTACATGCTGGCCGATTCTCGTGTGAATGAGGCCTTAGAGTAACAGCTCCGTCTTTGCTCCAGTTTTTGTAATCAGATCCACTGAATACAGGCTTTGGGAAGTAAATTTTCTTGTTTCAAACAACCTTCACTTTTAGTTGTAGATCAGTGTCACAATGCATAATACATATCTGAACAAGCTGTACCTGCTTTACATCTACAAACCAACTGAACACAGAGCAGCAGAAGACTCTGAACCTTTTTACTAATAATGGGTCATTCCTGTCTTTTCTTCCAGAATCCTTCAAATATATTTGCCAATCCGAAGGTTCTTCTACAATCTCATTCATCCAGACTACAGTGCTGTGACAGATGTCTATGTGTTAATGTTCCTGGCAGATACAGTAGACTTCATCGTTACTGTGTTTGGCTTCTGGGCTTTTGGAGTAAGTTATTATAACTAATAAAAGTGCCAAGTTTGTTCTGGTAGAACAAGGCAAATTAATAATATATTGTGCAAGATAAGTTTTAGCTTTGTCTGGAGTTGTCAGATAATAATAATTTGTTAAAAGGAATCAAGCCAGCAAAGGATTGAGGTGCCCACAGACATTAGATGACAGTTTCTTTATCGGACCATTTTTGGCTGTATTAGGTGATGGCCTAGTGGCACATTCAGACAGTTCTCTATGACAGTTGCAGGGTGAGGGTGGGGGTGGGGGGTGGTTAAGTGATCAAATGGGTACTTATCAATTAATTTCCTTATCAAATCATTGCTTCCCCCAAATAAGATGGCACCAGGAATGGGAAGTTATGTCACCCCCTCTTTGCATTCAAGCCTAAACAGAATGGCCAGTGTAACTAATTTTCTTCTGTTAATGGAAGAAGCCAGATCTGCAGAAATCAGCAGATGATCAGCTATGCATTCACATTTGAGTGTACTGTGATGTTTATGGAGAATTTTATACCCAAACATGTCTATTGAGAGCAGTGTCGGTAGAAAAAAGGCAATTACACTCAAAAGTTTACATTTGGATAAATTAAAGAGTAAAATATACTCTGCTCAATACTTAGGTCTGTTGTATCACATTGCAGCTGTCTCATGTCGGCTCTATACTGGGGGTTGGGGGACCACAAACCCCTGATTGCTGAGGTCACGGCTTCTTCCTGCAGAGAGCAGTGACTCTCAGTCCCAGCTTCCTTTAGGGATTCCCCCCTCTCCTCTCTGTCCATACAATGACAGCGCTGGAAGAACAGACAGGTGGAGGGGGTGGGCATTACTGGCTCTGGCTCTAGAGAGGCAGAGCCAGTTGTCAATCAGGCAGCTGGGTGGATCCAAACAATATTGTCGAGATAGTTCCCTACTGCAGTGTGGCTCTGCACTGTCAGCATTCAGTGAGCAGTAGCCCGCTATATGCTAACTTTGAGTCAAAAGAGAAGCAAAGTCAAAAAAGGTTTTGACGTCCAGTTTACCAAGGATGATATGCATCACGCATATCATCCTTGGTAAACTGGACGTCAAAACCTAGGTAGATAGGTGTGAAAAGTGGAGGCTTGATAAAAGCGCTTGTTCACAAAAACCACTGTTTCTATGCTTCAGCATGTCAAGTTTTAGCTCCACCAACACAGTGGATGAATAATACTGATAAAAAGAACACTGGGGCAGAACTGGAACTATTTATTCATTTGGTTTATAACGGTTTTATTTTTGTTATTTCAATAAGTAGATAGTTTGGTAAAAGTGATGTGTCCAAAGTGGGTAAGATAATAGTTGCCTGGCTGCCATTATGCACTGCTTGGTGAAACATAAGCCCAGTACAAATGTGCAGCCAGTGCAGTCAGAACTCTCGACCTACATGCTGTAAAGCATATCTAAACCCTAAAACAAAAATATAATATATTGCAGTTTGCTAGTCCGTAGTTGTGGTAGCTGCATTATTTTCTTTTTTTAGGCTATTTCACCTGGTAATCCTGTGAATAGTACACTTCCAGTTCCTGGGTGGCTGAGTTTATTCAACTGTATCTACAAAGGGCACCCGTGGTTATCACCCAGGCTGGACTTAAAACATGTCTGCCTTTCTTTATCTCCATTTCAGTGTGTTTGATAGGATTAGAAGCTTACACAAGAAAGATAACATTGTTTTTGGGTCAAATCACAGTGACAAGGATACTGCAATTCTGGCAAGATCAAAAGGTATTTTTTGTACTTGCTGAAAATGTTTTTAGCTTATAAAAAGAAAATTAATACAACCACGACAAGGACTGGTGGGTGATCTGCAATATCTTACACTTTTTTTTCTTGAGTCTAATAATCCTTTAAGTCAAGGGTTCTTAACCTTTTTCACAATTACAGACCACCATTAGAATGACCCATACCGCTATACCAGTCATTCGAAATCATCATTATCGTGGATTACTAGTAACAGAACAGCTATTAGAAAATCATAACAATTATCATATTTTTGTTTGTGCATTCAAAACATGGAATCCAACTACAGTTGCTGACAATGTTATTTGCATGTCATCTGACACATAAAGGGGATTTCTGCACTTTGGTTTCAGGTTCAATGATATAGAAAATCATTTTTTATTTATTTTTCAATATTCAGTGATCAAGTTCAATACTCTTCATCAATATCCTCAAGGGTTATGGGTACCCACTGTAAGGAAACTTGCACCAAGTAATGAAGCCACAGGAAAAAAAATGTAAACCAGGGAACTTCCTGAAGTTGGCAGTGGTCACCCCTGTATTTCTACTAAGCTAGGTTCAATTAAAGTAACACTAGAAAGACTAGAGATGCTGTTAACATGTCATGTGAATGGTACCGATCCCTAGTAAGCACCCATTCTTGTATGTATGTTCTCAGAAACACTCAGCTGCAGCCGACATCACCTCATCATTGTCAGAAGACCAGGTCCCAGAGGCATTCTTAGTGATGGTGTTGATACAGTTTGGCACAATGGTTGTGGACCGCGCCCTATATCTCAGAAAAACAGTCATGGGAAAAGTCATTTTCCAAGTCATCCTGGTATTTGGAATACATTTTTGGATGTTTTTCATTTTGCCAGGCGTAACAGAAAGGTATCTATGGAAATTATATCCTGGCTAATTGATAGTTTCAACACAATTGTCATATGAGAATAATGGGGTAATAATCCTGCTTCTATTTGGTGTTGTACAGGAAGTTCAGCCAGAACACTGTTGCCCAGCTGTGGTATTTTGTGAAGTGTATCTACTTTGGACTTTCAGCATATCAGATCCGTTGTGGATATCCCACACGTGTGCTTGGGAACTTCTTGACAAAGAGCTACAATTATGTCAATCTGTTCCTATTTCAAGGGTAAGTATCAGAACATAGATTGCACTGTAATCTTCAATTCATTATCACCACATGCGTCTGTATGTACATGTAAGAAAGACATTAAGTTACCTATAGTGAGTAACAATATTTCACCTTTTGGATCAAACCGGCAACGTTTAAGCCACATCTTACTGGTTGAATATCATTCAACCAACTTAACCTGTTAATTGCAAGGGCAAACAATTGTGTTACATTCCCTTAATAGATTTTCCACAATCATACTTTAGTTATAATTACAGAATTCATTAAGATATTGAAAAAGGTGTGGAGACATAGAATATCATGGGAAATATCATCACTGCAGCCTTTGAAAAGTAAAATAAACTGGGAGGTCATGTAAAGCTGAATTCCAGGCATGTATAGAAGACCCAAATCAAGGCAACTCTGTATTTATTAATAAATCAGTAAATTTATTTTTAAAGCAGCAAGCTTTAGTACCAGAATTTGACTTGGGATCAGCCTCTTACAAACCTTGTACAGAGGCACTTAAAACAAATCAGGTATGCTGCATGCAAATGTGTTAACAAGGAGAGTCATAATAGAAGGAGGAAGAGCAGAGAGGGAAGAAAAATGACCTGATCAGACTGCTCCTGTTTATTTTTTAAAAGCAACTAGTGTAAGTACCTGAATTTGATTACAATCAGCCTTTTGCAGTCCTTGTTCAGCAGATCTTAGAATGGGACAGAGAGAAGAAGCACTGACAGCCAATCAGTTGCTGCTGTGTTCATGAGCTAACAAGGAACAGGCTAATAGGAGTGACAGAGAGATGAGCTCATCGGTCTGCTGCTTCTCCTTCACTGTCCAATCAAAGACTGGAGGAGGGACAAGACCTAGTTGTATCACATACCAGAAGTAGAGAAATGTAAGGCCTACAGGCTGTCTGTACTGTCTAACCAGGCTGTGTAAATCTTAAGCTGCCTTTACACTGTAGTATTTTCTTTGTTTAACCTGTCGGCTGAATAAAGAAACTACAACAGATTCTTCCATCAATGCTTATGAGTGTTGATCAACAAATGTCCCACTGTCTCCATTGTATTCTGATGGTGGCCAACTTTCCCAACTGGCTCCTTCGATCAGCTGATCGAGGGATGCTGACCGAAAGGGTTCCGACAGCAGCCTCATTGTGTCAATTTTGGCCAGTTCATGAAGAACTGGACAAAATTTGCATAGTGTATGGCCAGCTTTAGGAATGAATGGACAGAAATACAAATCCAATGGCAGGTAAAAGAGCTCCTATATATGTATTTCTTCTGTGTATTAAGCTGTTTGCCTGAAAGTCAGTTTCAGTGGAATGTAAAATTGAACCTAGCATACACATATCTGGTAAAAAACATCATATATGCCCAGCTTTGTAAATGATTAACACTAGGAAATTAATTTCCACCCAGACTTTTCTGCACAGCGAGTAGAGCTTCCTATGATTCTAGTGATGTGTGATGTCTTTCCTCAGGTTTCGTTTGGTGCCATTTTTAACTGAGCTACGAGCTGTCATGGATTGGGTATGGACTGACACCACACTCAGTCTTTCCAGCTGGATCTGTGTAGAAGACATTTATGCTCATATATTTATACTAAAATGTTGGCGTGAATCTGAAAAGGTAATGGATGTGTTGTCATTATAAAACAAAATATAACAAATATTAGGAATGTGTCATAGCAAATTGCAAGCTAAAGAGAAATAAAACACACAATTCTTCTTCTAAGCATTTGCTTATAATTGTGCCTTTTAATATTCTCGACTGCTAACCAAAAGTCCATTATGCAGTTGATATATGTTTTATAAGGCTTTAAAAGGAACCCATCAGGCTAGGGGAATGTGCCCCCTTTTGGAGCACAATTCACATCCATGTGTTGTAGTAATGTACACGTATGTAATCTGTGATATTTGCACATTATTGTGTGTTGTGTTAACACACTTAAAACCAGGCTTGCAACATTTTTTTAAGCAGTGCAATACAACATTGTGGTGCGCTGCAACACAAGTGTGTTGTGTAGGTGTGTTGGGGTGCCATTCAAAATGAATAGCACCACAATGGATTGCACTTTTCATTGGTTTTAGCGCAATACTCAATGCAGTGGTGTGCATGAGCCTTTAGGGCAGACTCACCTGATGGTGACCTGGTGCATTGCATGAATGCTTGTGTACGTTAACATGTGTAGCGTTAAGATACCCAAATGAGCTGGCAACAAACCAGACCGTGCTAAAAATTGGACATTGGACACAGCAATCTCCCACTCTATCCAAAACAATCTATCCAGAAAATAATACATTTGCTGTATATTTTCAAAGTAAATTGACCCCCTTCCCCGACTATGCTCATTGCGTCAATTCTGCAATACATTAAGTGGCATGGTAATATGCATACATAATTTTTGGCATATTTCTTATTAGATGCATTTAAATGCATCCTATAAAGATGTCTTCCAAGGACAGCTGCATTTATGAAGTTCTGAAAATACTAGCTCCTTGGCTGCCATATTGGTCCAGTGGCTTTAGTGCTTTCTAAGCTACTGAGGCATAGCAAGTAAGCAGATTAGAAGGTCTGACTTCACTCTGACTTTTCTGGTGTAGATGTGCATTCATGGTCAGGGGTTCGATGTATCCAAGCCTAGGACCGCCAGGCACCTGACATTTTCAGAAAGATATCAGCAGTGGTATATTCCATATTTTTCTCAGTAAAGGCTTGCTTTAATGGCAACAAGACTGTACTTGGAAACTGCAGTTCATACTTGACCCACACTTTCCAAGCATACTGATATGAGCGAGATTTTGGTGTTTGTGATAGACCTCTGCAGTTCTGTAGAAAAAGCAGAACCCAAGTGACAGCCATGAAAGCTCATCATAATATAAAACCTATAATAAATACTTGACCCACACTTTCCAAGCATGCTGATATGAGCAAGATTTTGGTGTTTGTGATAGACCTCTGCAGTTCTGTAGAAAAAGCAGAACCCAAGTGACAGCCATGAAAGCTCACCATAATATAAAAGCTATAAAAAAATATTTTTGATATTGCTCTTACAGTGTTAAACCTATTGTCTTTTAACATTTGAAATCGTGTTTTTGTAGAGATATCCTCAGCCACGTGGTCAGAAAAAGAAAAAAGTTGTAAAATACGGAATGGGTGGCATGATTGTGGTTCTTCTGATTTGCATTGTTTGGTTCCCTCTGCTGTTCATGTCTTTAATAAAGTCAGTTGCTGGCGTCACAAACAAGCCCCTTGATGTCTCCATTAAAATCACCCTGGGAGGATATCAGGTAAGGCTTATTGGTGATTTGGCTTAAAATTATTCTAACAGCTATGGTTTGATGTTATTGTTCTCTTCAGGTTTTGATTGGCATTAGGAACAAATGAAACAAAAAAGAACACCCCCACCAGGTGATGTGGTGTTTCAGTTTGGCAGCTAACTTGTTGATCCATAGGTGTCACCATATTCATTACCAACCTAATTTGAGCCAAGTGACCCAATCTTAAAGGGAAAGTGTATTGTGTTTTCAGTAAATGCCTACTTTGAGTTAGCACCTTAAAGAGAAACTGAACTTTGGAAGCTGTCAGATGGCAAAGAAACAGTCACCAATGTTGCCTATAGTCTTTCTGCAGCTAATGTTTCCCCATTACTGACTAAACAGACTAAACATGCCATGTTTCATACTGTGCCTCTATATGAAGGCAGCCATCTTGGTAGAAGCAGCTGCTTTCTTATCTCAGAGCCTCAAGCAAGGAGAACAGTGAGCAACACAGGAGTGACAAAACAAAATCTCACTCCAAATCAACAGTCTATCAGTCAAAGACAGCAGTGCCTGAGATCTCAAATTCAGATATACAGCTATGAGACTGTAGGCACAGGAGTGCCTAGGTATCCTCACATACCAGGAAGTGCACTGCTATATTTCAGGAGGAATTCCAGACAACGGGTACATTTTCAGGGTACTGCTTTGGCTCAATTAACACTTCTAGACGTTTCCTATAGTATAGCAAATATTTACTTTTTGTGTGCATCACCATTTTAAATTCCTTTGTATACAGCTTTCGCATGCTTATAAGCTCACTCTTTCATATTTTTGTTACTATCTGAGATATATCGATTGGTACACAGGTAAAGACCTAAGAAGAAAAGGTTTTAAAGCACAACTGAGCTTACAGTTTAAATTAGTTAAATACTTTACAAGCGCATTAAATCAAAAGGGCTGTAAGGTTTTGCAGTTGTCTTTGGAAAGCAGCCACAACATAAGAAGAAAAGCCTGTCCCCTGCAGTCTTCATTTTGTCAGGATATTTCATTTTAGTCTTTTGAGGAAAATACATTTTTATTTTTAGTCGCATTTTAGTCATCAGATTAATTTCTATTTTACTTTAGTTTTAGTCAACGAAATTCAAGTTGATTTTAGTCGACAAAAATGAAAGTTGATTTTAGTCGACTAAAATCGAATAGGGTTATTTTTAGTGTAATGCATTATTTAAGCAGTTCTCCAGCATTCCCAAACTCATTTCATTATATATTCCTGGAGTAATTTTTTATTTTATTTAACTTTTGTTTTTTTTTTTTTTTTTTACTTAATTGCTATCACATGGGGGGCTCACAAGCCCCTTATGTGATAGAACATTTGAGATAACAGGTTCTCTTTAAGTTGATATTAGGGGATCTATTAGACCCCTAGTGTCACCTTTCCTCGTCACTGGGGAATGGTAGCTGCCTGCTGAGGCTATTTGAGCTGCCTCCTATTGGCTATTTTAAATTACAATATCAGGCTGGCTCTTGCACCCTCCCACTGCCTGCTGTCAATCAGCAGAGGTGGGAACTGAAGGAGAGAGTTCTCCTTCAGGTCCTCCTCTGCTGATTGACAGCAGGCAGTGGGGCAGGTGCAAGAGGCAGCCTGCTATTGGCTATTGCAATTTAAAATATCCAGTAGCAGGCTGGCTATTGTTTCCAGCTGCTGATGTCAGACTTGACGCCGGTGTTCTATTAATCCCTCGAGTCTGAGGGATTGAAAGAACACCGGCAGAGAAGGGGCACGGGGAGCAGAGAAGGGAGCTGGGGAGCAGAGAAGAGAACAGGGCGACCAGAGGAGGAGGAACGAGGTGGGCAGCTTAGGAACAGGCAACCAGAGGAGGAAGAACGGGGTGTGCAGAAGAGGAAGAATGGGGGAGCAGCGGAGGAACAGGGTGGGCCAGAGGAGGAGGAACAGTGCAGGCAGAGGAGGAGAAATGGGGTGACCGGAGGAGGAGGAACAAGGTCGGTAGAGGAGGAATGTGGCAGCAGTGGAGGTACAAGGGGGTGGCAGCAGGGGAATGCACAGTCACCGCAGTCTCTTCTCCCCGCTGGCAGGGAGAGCAGCGGGAAGGCAGGGAGAGCAGCGGGAATTAAAAGGGACACAGACCGCTGCACCCAGGGAGGAGAACGGACAAGCAGAGTGGCGGTGGCAGCGGCTGCAACTAATTGAAAATCAACTAATCAATAATGAGAGTTGTTAACAACGATTCTCATTATTGATGTAGTTTTCGTTAGTTACCGGATGAAAATCGCTTTTGTCCCATTAACCACTCTATAATTTATTTTTTGTTTCCTTGAAAAATGGCCAAAAAACTAAAACAAACAATTTTCGGTGACAAAATTAACACTGGTCCTCTGCCAGCATACTGCAGAGCGGGACCCTTGCTCTGTGTGGAAGCAGCGGTCCAACATGCTCCTGCTCTTTCAAACCTGTAGTACTGCAATCAGGAAAGTGTATGCACTCAGCTGATTGGAGACCTCTAATGCAGATTTAAAAGTACTGATCAAATTGAATTGGAATATAACATACTGATTATCACCAACAATACTCAAATCATTCGCATAGCTTACAAATATTGAGCTTTGTATGCCTGTACTAAATGTCTGATCTACTGTAGTACAATTCAAGTTAGTTTATAGGTGAGGTAAAGCCAGAGGCATAACTAGAAACCTCAGGGCCCTGGTGCAAGAAACCATGAAGGGCCCCTCACTCCACCCCCCATAAAAAAAATGTTGAAATCATGGGACCCCATTTTTTTATCATTTTATTTATTTTATTATTTTTTATTTTCAATACAGAAGATAGATCACACATGTGCTCTATCTTCTGCACAGCTCAGGTTGTGACAGCTGACACAGGAGCGCTGCTTTGCTACCCGCTCTCCATCCTGAACTGCCTTGCCGTAGGCTGGGGTCCCCCAGAAGAGCAGGGGACCCCGAAAACCATGGCACAGAAGAAGGCAGCCGGCGGGAGGGCAGACCATGGGGGGGGTGGACCATGGAGGGGGCCGGACTAGTAACAAGCAGGCTGCATACAAGTGATTTCAGCGGCTGTATAGCAAATGCGACTGCTGCGACCCTGGTAGTTCTGCCAGTGGGTAAAGCACTAATTTCCAAAAGCAGACAACATAGTAGAATAAAAACTATACATGAGCTGACAAAGAATTGGCACAATTATACTGTAAGCCATATTTCTTGTTTTACAAAAGGACACACGATATGAATCCTCTACAACAGCGGTAGGCAAACTCTGGTTCTCCAGCTGTGGTGAAACTACAAATTGCACCATGCATCTGCCTCTGGCAGTCATGACTGTGGCTGTCAGAGTGTTGCAATGCCTCATAGGATTTGTAGTTGCACCACAGCTGGAGGGCTGGAGTTTGTCTATCCCTCTTCTACAATATAATGTGGCAATTCTGTGGGATAATGTGTAGTTGTAGTTTTTGAATCTTTTGGAAATGGAAGAAACTGCATACACTACAGCAATACATGTACAAGTATACTTACTGTTATACACATGAAAAAGGCAGCTGGCAAATATATGTAGTAATAAGACTACATAACTTTTAAATATGTGGGCATTTAATATGCTACATGTTGCAAACCAGTAGGCAATTTAGATAAGTGTACAAAGTTAGAAAAAAAACAGTCAAAATGGGCTTATTCAACAAGTACACCTTGAGTTCTGTTATTTGTATTAATTATGTAGCGATCACCCCCGAAGGAGCCACCAGAATAACTCAATAACTCAAGGGTCATCACTAGTTGGTCTAGTTGTTTTAGTATTCAGCTGCCCAATTAGCATTTAACCACCCTCTTCTAGTGCCGACAAAGCTGATATCCAGGCCAAATTATAACGCTGAAGAAGGTTTATTAAACATATTCACTTTGGGAGACAGAGTATAGGGATCCCAGACATCCAGGATAGTACACACATAGTCTCCAGACTCACCAGTCCGTTTTAGCAATTCAGTGTAGATCCATTTGTAGCACAGTGAATAGATATTTGAGCAGCAGTTGAGCATGAATGAGCACAAATCTTAAACAGTAGAGACGTCAGACTTGCTCTTGAGGTCGACTTTGTTCCGGCACCTCTAATAGCCATCAGGTTACCTGGTTCTCCTCCTCTGACAATGGAAAAGCCCTCCTCCAGACTTGAAGCCTAACGAACACTTCCCACACTCAAGCATTCCTACCCCCAGGCCTTTTGAGAGAGACCCAGTGATTGGCTGGTGAACTGCACACACACGCACAGTTTCCCTCATTGGATATCCTACACTAGAGCAGAGTCACAATCCACCCAGGTAGGTACAATCAATGCCAGAACACCTGAAATTAACCAGATAAATAGCAACTATAATCCAGCTAGACTGACTACAGCTCTGGCAATCACTAAATTACTAGTAACCACCTCACAAAAGGTGATGGGAGCTATAATTACATATTATTATTATTATTATTAAATAATTAGGGTAGTATATTAATAGTAGCCTAGGCCCAGTCAATACAGGTTTGTCATATCTATTCCTACCTCCTAAACAGAATTGCAATTCACTAAACTCACCCTGACAGTGATAGACCCGCAGGGTGGCAACACTACTTATTTGTGGTGTGTTTGGCAAGGATATATCTTTAAATCACTTGCCTGTGTACACCACCTCAGAGCTGTAATAGGTATGCCCAACTGGCACGAGGCTCCAGAGAAGAGCAGCAGGCCTGGCAAAGCAAAACCTGGCCAGGCTTGTTCAGCCCACTTCCTTCAAGTCTCATGCAGGATTAAACTGCTGACAAATGAATAAATAGATGATAATGCTAATAATTATACATGCCATTTTATTTGTTTTAGAGATTTTACTTCTCTTAAAACAGAGCATATGTTTGATCAAATTGTAGCTGAATAATGTATTTTTATATTTATTGTATCTTTTTTTATTTCTTACACATTGTAAATAAAACGAGTCACAAATTCTATTCTTTATTTTCCTTTCAGCCTATTTTTACCATGAGTGCTCAACAAAACCAGCTACAAGAAATTACAAACCCCCTGTTTAGATCATTTGAAGGACATTTTAAAAAGGAGACTGTAAGTAAATAAATCTTATATTAGAAGTTGGTGTTTGAAGAGCTACAACAAGTTGCTTACTCTACCTATGGCCATTTGTTCTTGGGTTCATTGATAATAATTTATTATAATGAGCACACTAACATTAATCCATTTTAACCAACCTAGGCAATTCCGATTGGTTACTATGGATTTATGTACTGTTGAGTTAGCAATAAGAATTCAAATTCTTAGATACCGTACAGGTACAGAAATACACTGATTAATCTTTTTATTGTGCTCTTCTCTATAGTAACAAATACACACTGTGGTTGGTTAGAGAGACTGTCTCTCTCCTTCTATAGAAATTCTTATATTACATATTGTATGTTGTATTGCCATTACCAGGCAATATAACAATAAATTGTAACAACTCCTAGCTTTTCATAATGCCCCTTAACATTCCCCTTGTTGTTTGGTTGTTTAACTGTGAATTAGTGCATATCAAGATGTATATTAAGATGCTTCTGCTTATTGTAACAAAGTGTTGTATATTTGTTTAGTCTGCTCTTCAGTTCTTGGAAGGATATGGAATGGAAGACATCACTATTGCAGAATTAGAAGGAAATTCAAATTCTCTATGGACCATTAGTCCTCCAAGCAGGAAAATGATGATAGAAAGCATTGCGGATTTGACTCATGAATTCACTTTGGTTATCTCTTGGACTATTCATAGGTATGGATACACTGTTGCAACTGTAACTGTTGTGCAGTGCTGATAAATTTGGAATAATATCTTAGGTGTCAAAATCCATTTTGTTAACATTATAAACTTCTTTTCCTGGAGTATTTCTTATATTATTGTAATTTACTAATGTATATCTTGCAGCTTAAAATGTACTTTTCAACTAAACAGCACAGAACGTGCTAGGGTGTTGTTCATTCGTGCTTACAGTGTTATTACAATGGAATAGGTACAACCCCAATTCCAACAAAGTTGGGACACTGTGTAAAATCTTAATAAAAACAGAATGCAATGATATGCAATGCTAAACCGCATACTGCATATTTGACATCAGCATGGCTTCATAGGAGAAGAGTCCAAGTGCTTCACTGGCCTGCTTGCAGTCCAGACCTTTTACCAATTGAAAATATTTGGCACATCTTAAAACGAAAAATACAACAATGAAGACCCAGGACTGTTGAGCAGTTAGAATCCTGTATCAGGCAAGAATGGGCCAACTCCAGCCACTGGTTTTCTCAGTTCCCAGACATTTACAGAGTGTTGTTAAAAGAAGAGGGGATGCTACACCCTGGTAAACATGGCCCTGCCCCAACTTTTTTGAGAAGTGTTGCTGCCATCAATTTAAAAATATTTTTTTTTAAATGGTACATTTTCTCAGTTTAAACATTTGATGTTTTCGATTGTGAATAAAATATGGGTTTATGAGATTTGCAAATCATTGCATTCTGTTTTTATGTAGATTTTACAAAGTGTCCCAAGATTTTTGGAATGGTAGAATAAATTATACAAAAGACTTAAAGTGACACTTAACTCAGGAATTAAATCTTAAAAAGTATTTAGGCACCTTAACTATTAACAAGAATGTATCTTATTTGTGTATCACTCAGCTGTAGATCATCAAATTATCTCTGAATTCATGCTGACACTGTCTTTCCTCCTGGGGGGTGGCTACTTTTGTTCCAAGCTCGCTCCTGTGATGGACTACAATGTCAATACAAATTATTAAACTAAATGTAAGATTGTAGTCCATCATGGGAACGAACTTGGAGTGGTGGCTACTTTAAAACACTCACAGGTGTCATAGGAAACAAAAGTAGCCACCCTCCAGAAGAAAGGACAGTGTCAATTCAACTTCAGAGATGATTTGAAGATCTACAGGTGAGTGATACACAAATAAGGTACATTTGTGTAAATAGTTAAGGTACTTGAATGCATTTTTAAGATTTAACTCCTGAGTATAGTGTCACTTTAACTTGCATATTCATATATAAAACTGTAGAGGGAAAAATGTATCATATATAACCTTTGATCGATAAGTTTGGGACTACATTAAGGCCCCTCACACGCAGGTGGTCCGATCAGCTCTGTCTGCTAGTAATTAAGGCGGATCTGATTGGAAGCCCAATGTAAAGCCAGATATAAACAGAAGTGAATCTGTTTACATCTAATTACCCTGACTCCATCTAGGTCCAGAACAAAAACCGAAACAAAGTTCAGCTTCGGCAGACCTGATCTTGTTGGATTAGAGGTAATACGATGTCAACTTAAATCCAAATCCCCATAGACCTACCATAGGTCCATAGCGCTCACTGAAAGAATACAGATGTCACAAGAGTAACATCTGTTCTGGTCTTCCAGAAATTACCCTTTAAACCTGTCTATTTTCACTCAGAAGGTTGCCTTCCTCATTGCCCTCTCCTCTCCCATCTGTCATCGCCTCTTTTCTTCCTAAGGTACATTCTTCATCTCACTTTAACCAGGATATTGTGCTGCTCCATGACATCCAAAGAAAATTTATCTCCACTGTCTGTATGTGGTGCATGCTTTTTGAGTCTATTTCTCTGCCCCAGCTTCTTTTTTGACAGACTGACCCTCTTTTTGCAAGGTTCCCCTTCCATGTCCCTTCCCTGTCATTTGATCAGTTAGTGCCTCATGGGTTTTTCAGCATTAGGTATCTGTTTAGGTCCTCTGTTTGCAGATTTTACCAGTATATTCATGCCTTATCTGAGCTTTGGTCCTAAGATTCTTCAGTCAGCTCTGTGAGTTCTGTTGAGCCCCTTCTGTTAACTTGTTGTTCTTGTGGGTCTGTTATCGTTTCCTGTAAGGACAGCCCCTAAGTTGCACAGCTTTTGGACGTCCCTATGTACCTGAATTACTTATCCTGTGTTCCTTAATGTACGATTAAGAAAGCTGGATTTTTTACTTACTGTTAAATCCTATTCTTGGAGTACCTTAATGGACACCTGTCCCTACCCTCTGCTCCTAGTATCTACTATTGCTTTGCTACAAAACTGGAGCATAATGGGAGTTGGAGGGGTTATACTAGGCTGCCTTTACACGTTTGTATGCTAGTGTCTAGTCTCCTTAAGGCAGCAGCATAAGCCTATGTACCTGAATTACACTTGTTGTTACCATTAATGTACTCCAAGAAAATAAAACATCAGTAAGTCCCATATTTTGACCAGTCGAAAGACTCGACCAGAGTTTAATAATCATCTAATTCTTAGTAGAAAGAATAGCCTAAAATTACATTTGATAGAATTGCAGGCAAATACCTAGTACTTAACATTTCAGTAGCTGTTTAACTGGTGAGCACAGAAAGTATAAAACTATTGAAAAATTAGAATTTCACGGGAGGAAACCATCCCATCCTTGGCTATCATGTGGGGGTAATAAATCTACTGCACCATTATGGTTGTTACTATAAAGATAAACTGAGGACTTTTGCCTGTAGCCACTTAACTCTGGCTGCACTAAAGGTAACAGGTAGTCCTAACTGTCCTTAGTATGTGTAAAGCTCTATAGATTGCATTAGTCATGTACGGCTCATATATTAGTTGTCTGGTTACACACAAAAAAAAACAGAATGTGCTTCCTTCCTAGTGACCAATCAAAAGTTTCTCTTACGTACATACATTTCTAACAACAGGAAAGAGAAAAAGAGAAAAGCTGATTGAGTGATAGAAGGGATGCAGTGACTGTCCTTCAGTCAAACACTTTATACATAATGCCCTGTGGGCACGCTTTAAAGTTCTATTCAGGTTATTGTACAGTTATCTGCACACTGAACATTGTTAGCGGTTGACTTATTTATTTTCTGTACACCCATGTAGAAACATGAGTCTTGGAGCTAAAGCAGAGATCACGGGTGATAAACATACAATTGCACTGACAAATGAAACACGAACAGCCCTGGCTAACATGATGAAATCAAACTCTTCAGCACCAGTGTAAGTATGAGTATGAAATATATTTTAAGACTCTGAACACAATGGGGTCAATTTACAAAGCTTATTTTCTTCATTTCGGTCGTTATTTCATCGATATCACTTGTTATATAGTTGATGGGTAAAGGTAGTCAATTCACAAAACTCAATAACGCCTCTTTTTTTTTAGAAGTAGTAAATTAACTATTCAGACATTATTTTAACTATTCAGATGTTATTTTAACAACTGGAGTGATAAAATATGCTTGAAATGCAATTCACAAAAGGAAAAGGTCCTTTTACCACTTGTTATTGAGACGTAGATTTATCACCTCCTTAAGGGTAGCGTTATGACAGGTTTCAGGTGTTATCTGATGCTTGTTGCACTGAGATGACGTGAAGTAAATAGAAATGGAACCTTTTTTCTTAATTTTCACATGGCTTAATGCTTTTGTATACAGAAGAAGAAGGCGGCATGTAGTTGTCATTTCTACAGTTTTAATCCTTCTACAAATGTGAATGATTTTTTACAGTTAGAGGTTAGGGGCAAATCTCACCTGACATGAAAAATCAAATGCCCCTGAACACCCTTCAGTGGGGTTGTAGAGCAAGTGGATTGTACCATGCAACACATTTTATATCAAAACAGGCATTAGGTGGTAAGGAGAATTGCTTGTCCTCCCTACAATGTCTGATTGTCAACAGATGTAGATCTAAATAAACCTAATGTTTCATATAATTATTCCGTTCAGAAATTTTTTTATTGTTATTTCTATATGATATCTTCTCTACTAAATTTAAAATTAGTATGCATGTGGCGAATATGGAATATATTCCTTTCCTATATGTGGAATCCTTTTGGGTGGTGAAAGTGAAAGCAAAACAGTCATCTAGGCATCTGCTCCACCCCCCTGCTACAAAACTGCACTGCAAAAGTGTTAAAATAACACCCAAAATTTTATTTCATCACAGTAATAGATTAAAAGAAGTCTGTGATGTTAAAATAACACTTGCTTAAGGAACGTTAAACTGCGTGTGCATTCACAATTCCCGGCTTTTGTGAAATGCATGTTTCAGCAAGCAAAATACAGAGTGGTAAAAAAACGATAGATAAATTAACTTATACTCTCGTAAAGCTGAGCTTTGTGAATCGGCCCCAATGTCCCTTATTTATTAAAGCAAATAAACAAGAGCAGGGATAAATCAATCTGGTACACTTGTTTTGCAGGCTTGCATTGGGGATGGAAAATATGATCCTGAACGTATTTATCTGATCATATACTGATGTTTAGTATGTGTGTTACAGTTCTAGTTTGTTGTGCATGTTGCAAACCCAGATAATGCTGCTCTTTTGCACTCTGTAGCAAAACATGTAAATTCAACATATGTCACCTTCAGCCTATTTGCGGGCGCATAGTAAATACCGCAAAGATACAGTTTGGTTTCGTGAGGATACAACGAACACGCCAGCTTATGCACGTAACTTTTAATAAATCAGGCCCAGTGTGCGTTAAGCTGTCCTTAGCTAATGTGTATTCTTATTGTACATTTGTGCATTAGATATACTTGGGATATTAAAATTAACTTGTGTGCATTGGTCTCAGTAGCACTAAGAAATAAGGTTTCAATGGTGTCAGTGGGTGTTCGACTGAAACCAATGCAATAGGGGGCATTTTTTTCCTGAGTCCCAATAGTAGAACTTGGGTAATGTGGAAAAGGACATGTATAGTATAGTATACGGAAATAGGCTGTGTAGAAAAGGGAATGTACAGCACAGGATAAAGAAGTGGATGGTAGGGAATATTAAATATACAGCACATCATAGAGATTAAGTCAGTGTGGAACATAAAATGTATCAAATATAGAACGGAGAAGTGTAGAATATGACATGTACAGACCAGTGTTCAGAATTAGGCAGTGTAATAGGTGATGCATAGCATGGCCTACAGTGTGAGACAGAAAAAGGAATGTACAGCACAGCATACAAAAAGTGGTGGTGTGAAATACGAAATGTACAAGAACACATATAGAAAGGGCCTGTGAAGAATAGGGGACATACAGCATGGAATATGGAATAAGGCATTGCAGAATACGGAATATACAGCATGTCATATGTCATGAAGCGATGGGGAATAGGAAATGTGCAACATGGCATACAGAACAAGGTGGCATAGAATGGGCATAAAACATACAACATAGCACACAGAATGAGGTGAGGCAAAGTAGGGAACATACAGCATGGCATATGCAACAAAGTGTTGCAGACTAGGGAGTGTACAGCATGGCATACGGAATGAGGCAATGTGGTATATGTAACATACGGCATGTCAAACAGAATGCGTTAGTTTGGAATAGGGAACTTAGATCATGATATATGTAATGAGTCATTGCAGAATAGGGAAAGTACAACATGACATGGAGAATAAGGCGGTTTGTAACAGGGAACGTATATCATGGCGTATGGAATCAGGCGGTGTGGAATACGGAATGAGCAGCATGTCATATGAGATGAAGTGGTGCAGAATAGGGAACATGCAACATGACATACAGAACAAGGTAGCACAGAATAGGGACCATACAACATAGCATACAAAATGAGGTGATTCTGAATAGGTAACATACAGCATGACATATATAATGAGGCATTGCAGAAAAGGGAACGTACAACAGGGTGTACAGAAAGTGACAGTGTGTAACAGGGAATGTACAACATGGCATATAGAATAGTGGGCAAAAAAGGGAATGTACTGCAAGGCATTCGGAATGAGGCAATAGTGTGGAATAGAAAATCAACAGCAGAGTGAGACAGTGTAGAATAGGTACAAAATATTAGTGTGCCAGTTATTTTAGTACCTCCATAGGGATGTCTTCTCTGATTTGTAGAGAATCAAGCAACTAAGGAAAACAGGTAATGGGGGATCAGGAATAGTATGAGTCTCTGAAGAATGGATAAACCTGCATTCATGCTTTTAGGCAAAGACTTTGTTGTTCTATAATTTGCCTAGTTTGCAAATGAATTTGTTTACTACTTGTCACTGGAGTTGTGCTAACTTTTTTGAGTAGTATTAAACAAAAATTGTTTGAAATATGTAAATGTATAAGTACATCAAAACCTCAGTTAAAATAAAATAATAGCGTTTTGTATTTTTCTTCAGAACACTTGAAAAGATCTATCCATGGTACATCAAAGCACCAAGTGATTCTACTGCAAAACCAATCTTCCAACTCCTTAAAAGTAAGCATTTGTTCAATGAGGTCAGGGTATATATATATATATATAAGCATATAGTTAGTTCCTGTGTATATGGATGAATGAAAACTAATGGTATCAATACTGCTCTTTTTTGATAGACAACCACTTTGTGAATATTAGCGTTTCTCTGAACAAAAATGAAGTTGGTAATGGTAGTGTTCGAGAGTGGTGGGTCCTCAATCAACCCCATAAACATTTCAACCCGAAATCTCCAAGCAAACCTGGTTTGGAACTAATTGTTTTCAGCGATAAAGTCAGCCCTCCTAGTTTAGGATTCTTAGCAGGTTATGGGTAAGTACCTGTTCTCATACAACCATCCTTAGTTATTTCTATTTAGATACAGTATTATTTAAGAACATGGACACCTTTGTACATATATTTACTGCTTGGAGCAAAGTATAGTACATTGTTTGCAAAAAGTCTGAGTTTCATAAATGCAAGAACAACAAATGTCTTTCCACTAATTCTAATGATCCCCTTTTAAAGACTATGGTGATTATAGCAGGGTTTATTTACTTTCTAAATATAATGTTACCTATTTTAGCTATAGTGCTTTACAGTGGCCAGAACTCAAGGAGCATTGACGAGGTTGCAGACTATTTAAGTGCTAATGTACATGGCTGTTCAATATGCACTTTAGATGTGTATACCATGAGTTTACATGTATTTACTATGAATTTGCCATGAGTTTGAATCCATTTGATATACAGTAAATTCTAATTTATTTTGTATAGCAGAATAGCAGTAACGCTGAAGCTGACGTTAAAGCATAACCTGAGGAACAAAAATGTAATAATTTGCAGCTTACGAGTCCTTGGATGTGGGTGTTGCATTAGTTTAAATTTTTCATGCTAATAACTTTTTCAGCTAGTACAGTAAATACCTGCTGATCCTGCCAGCACTGCAATGTCCTTGTCACATCATATGAGCTGCTCTGGTAAGACAAAAAAAGTTATACTAACCCCATCACCACCCTCTCCATGAAATGGAAATGAACAAAGATAGACATATTAGTAGTTCAAGCTGCGTGGCAACCATGACTGCCTCCGTAGATACAGTGGAGTAAACACAGCCACCCAGGGACAAGAAGGATGTTATTCGCAAGATAAAAAAATACAAAGAAAAAAAACATAATTCAGCCACGTCATCTAATATAATACAATATAATAGATTTTTGTTTTTGGTAGACATGTTAGCCGGCAAAGAATTTGGTTTGGCTGGGTTCGCTTCATTTCAGATTTTTCATTATTTCGTTTTTCGGGATTCCGATCCGAAATTCAATTTGTTTCAGCATTTGGATTTGGACGAATACGAAATTTTCATTCATTTCAGATAAGTGAAATATTTACAAACTAATTTTCATTGCGGCAAAGTGACATTAGAAACATTTCTTTCTCACTTTTGGCAGTCCACAGAATCAATAATAGAAAAAAAAACAGCATGTGGCTCCCCTGAATCCATACCAGACGCTTTAGGTCTTGTAGGAATTTTAGTGGAGACTCCAATGTAAAAAAGCCAAAATAAAAGTGTGGAGTCCACCCTAAAATCCCTTACCAGACCCTTGATTCGAGCAGCAGCCTATCAGAGCAGGAACGAGCATGTGCCCCCCCGCACCATACCAGGCCACATGCCCTCAACATGGGAGGGTGCTTTGCTAGGGGGGGCCTGTCTAGTTTAGTTTTTGGGTTTAGATACACTTTAAAGGCAGATGTAGACTTTTGTGGTGCATTAATACATGCATTTTTAACATCTGTTATTGCACCCTTTGTTGTGCATTGTGGTAATACTGTTCACTGTAAATGGATTGAAAATGCAGGTTTTAATGGCCCTTTAGCACTATGGTATTCTGTAGGCATAAAAGGTTCACTGTACCCGTTGATCGGCCTTCGTGCTTTTGGGTCTGCGTGTAGTTGTACAGACAACATAGGCTTCTATAAAAGTAGTTCCATTACTAAATTATAATACAAAGATCATTCATGGAGTAATGTATGTGATGTTTCTATCTACAGAATAATGGGACTGTATGCTTCTGTGGTACTGGTGATTGGAAAATTTGTTCGTGAGTTCTTTAGTGGAATATCTCATTCAATCATGTTTGAAGAGTTACCGAATGTGGACCGTATATTGAAACTGTGCACGGACATTTTCCTAGTACGAGAGACTGGGGAACTGGAACTGGAAGAAGACTTATATGCCAAACTAATATTCTTATACCGCTCACCAGAAACTATGATCAAATGGACAAGAGAAAAAAATAAATGACTTTTATGAACTCAGTAATTCAGTTGACTTCCCCTGGATTATTGAAAAGCACAATTTTTTCATTGCTCTCATAAGAGCATAGACTCCTGCAATGAAGAAACTGTTTTTTCTCTTACAGTACTCAGTAGCAGAAGACCAACAGGGACAGTACAGGAGATCTATTATTTTATTTGGCCTAAAAACCAACTTTATCACAGTTACGTTTTTATTAGAAGAGCTACAGAAGTTACATTGCCTGAAGGTATGACACCTACAAAATGATGGTAGGAATGCAGTGACGTTTGGGCTCTACAAGCTTTTCTTCAGAATTGATAACTTTTAGAATGTGCAATATGCTGCTTTACAGTGTCCTAAACCCTTGACATTGCAATATGTCGATTCTTTTCATTCTGTCAAGACTCAAAGCAGCAGAAGGTCGTGCAGTGAATGTACATTTGCCTGTGATACAGAAACAGATTATTTATGCATTGGAGCCTCAACGGACATAGAAAACGTAAAAGAAAAATACACCAAATGACAATCTTGTTAACTGCCTTATTTTTATTTTTACAACCTGACAGAATATTTTAATTAATCGTTATTGACTTTTCTCAGGAAAATTACATACTAACAAAATGATCATCAAAAATGTAAAACAACAGCATATGTTTGAAGTATTTAGGCCATTTCCCGAGTTCACTTGAGCTATCATAATCATTGAATGTGTCTGAGTGCAATGGAGAGCATGTCCACAGTGATACTTATGGTTTAATTATTTGATATAAAAGTATGACATATGCAGGGTAGGTTATTTATGTTCAAGGAAATCTATTCAATGTCATTATCCTTCTTTGAAAATGGCCTTTCTTAATGTATCCGTGACATACATCTTCCATTGTTTACATAAATACACATTGTAGCATGAAAAATTAGGATTGTCATGCAGCAGGTAAAATCTGCCAAATATCGAATACTGACAATTAGCAGTTACAAACAATTTGCTCTTTATACTTGCTATACATATTCCATCAGTATATACACTATGTGGACAAATATATTTGGACACTTGACCATTATACCCATATAATCCTGTTGGCCATCCCATTAGAAAAAACATGAACATTAATATGTAATTGCTCCCCCCACTCCCTCCCCCCCCCCC